AGGGTTACTTGGTTATATCTCTTAAAGTCTAAAAGTGAATTTTTTACAACTTTTCAAGACTTTCATAAGCTAATAACCAACCACTTCTCCTCAAAAATATTTACCTTACGGTCAGATAATGGCACCGAGTATACCTCCAATAATTTGTCAAACTACTTGAGCAGCCATGGTATCTTGCATCAAACTAGTTGTGTGGGTACACCACAACAAAATGGTGTGGCTGAACGCAAGAATAGGGATTTATTGGAGAAAACTAGGTCTCTCATGTTTCAGATGCAAGTTCCCAAGAGATTCTGGTCCCAAGCACTCCTTACTGCAGCATATATCATTAACAGACTTCCCACTCGTGTCCTGAATTCCAAATCAACTTTTGAAGTTATGAAGGGAAGAACTGCTTATTTAACTCATTTCAGGATTTTTGGGTGCACTTGTTATGTTCACGTTCAAGCAAATCATCGTGATAAACTCGAACCTCGAGCTATCAAGTGTGTGTTTATGGGGTACTCGAGTTCTCAAAAGGGATACAAATGTTATAACCCACACACTGGGAAGCTGGTTGTCTCTAGGGATGTACGGTTTGATGAACACGTTCCTTTCTTCAACAATCACTCCCCAAATAGTTCTCAGGGGGAGAGTCTAATGGATATTTTTCCACTACCAACTCTTGCTGAAATCCATACAGACACCCCCCCATACCACCCTACAAGTGATCCTCCAGTTGATGAGATGGTCAGTGAAGATATATCTCGTGCCCCAGCACCAGTTGTTGCCACACAACCAATTGTAGCAGCACCAAAAAGGAATCCAACTCGCGATCGCAACCCTCCTCGACAGCTACAAGAGTACATCACTTACAGTGCAAGGCATCCCATTTCTGAAGCCCTCACTTATCACAAAATGTCAGCATCTCATGCATCCTTCCTAAGTCAGTTGGCAAACAATGTTGAGCCTAAAAACTTTCAAGAAGCAGTATGTATGCCTATGTGGAGAGATGCCATGCATGATGAGCTCAAAGCACTGAACGAAAATAAAACCTGGAGTGTAGTAGATCTTCCCAAAGGGAAGAAAGCCGTAGGGAGTAGATGGATTTACAAGACCAAATTCAACTCTAATGGTACCATTGAAAGACACAAGGCCCGGTTGGTTGCTCGGGGTTTCACTCAAACTTACGGCATTGACTACAAGGAGACCTTTGCTCCCGTTGCCAAAATGAACACCGTGAGGGTGTTGTTATCAGTAGCAGTCAACCACGACTGGCCCTTGTTTCAAATGGATGTTAAAAACGCATTTCTTCACGGTGAGCTTCAAGAAGAGGTGTACATGAAACTACCTCCAGGACACCCTCAAGAAAAAGAACCTACCAAAGTCTGCAAGCTTCATAAAGCGATATATGGACTTAAACAGTCTCCACGAGCTTGGTATGCCAAACTGAGCTCCGTTCTTGAAGTGGCAGGGTTCAAAAGGAGTCATGCTGACTCCTCTCTTTTTGTTCGAAGTGGTGTCCAAGGGAAGCTTGTAGTCCTTATATATGTTGACGACCTTATCATCACGGGAGACAACATGGATGAACTCGAGGCTCTTAAAAGGTCACTTCACCAACAGTTTGCCATTAAAGATTTGGGATCCTTGAAATATTTTCTGGGAATTGAGATGGCTACCTCCTCCAAGGGTTTATTCTTAAATCAAAGGAAGTATGTTCTTGACCTTCTTAATGAAGCACATATGGTCAACTGCAAACCTGCCCGCACCCCACTTGCTAGCAAACTTCAACTGGATGCTCCAGGTAATCTTCTTTCAAATCCTAATGTGTATCAACGCATGGTTGGGAAACTCATTTACCTCACTATCACAAGGCCTGATATTGCTTACTCCGTAAGCCTTATCAGTCAGTTTATGCATTCTCCTACATTGGTTCATTGGGAAATTGTCAAGAGAATACTTCGATACCTCAAGGGCTCGATCGGCAGAGGCATACTCATGCAAAAAAATGAGTCTAATCACATTCTGGCCTATACCGATGCGGACTGGGCTGGTAATTCCCTTGATCGAAAATCCACCACCGGTTTTTGTACCTTTGTAGGTGGAAACCTTGTCACCTGGAAAAGTAAAAAACAAACAGTGGTTGCACGGTCCAGTGCTGAAGCTGAATATCGGGCCATGGCCGCAACAGCTTCTGAACTCATCTGGTTGAAGAGTCTCCTTCTTGATCTTGGCTTCACCAGCAAGGAACCCATATCCTTATTTTGTGACAACCAGGCTGCCATGCATATTGCATCCAATCCTGTATTCCATGAACGGACTAAACACATTGAAGTCGACTGCCACTACATCCGCACTCAAGTTCAATCCAAAGTCATTGAAACTGTGTACACTAGAAGTCATGATCAACTTGCGGATCTTTTCACGAAAGCTCTTGATTTTACACAGTTTCAACGGTTATTGTTCAAGCTTGGATCAATCAACCCCCTTGATCCAGCTTGAGGGGGAGTATTGACAGCTAGGCAGCTAGGACAGCTAGGACAGTATGGGAGAGAAGGAATATTGCTCGTGAAAAGGAATGTTGTATATTCCTTGACAGATAGACTATCACATGGTTGTGAAAAGGAATGTTGGACAGATAGACTATCACATGGTTTTGCTGTTTTTCTCTTTCTCTAGTTGCTGCATCATGACAGCAAGCACAACACCTGTATTGCTTTTCTTTATTGCATGCGTGTATGTAAAATGTATATAAACAATGCTGCAATTGCAGCAGTATCAACAAGATGAAAACAACAAAGTTGAAACCAAAACTTCAATAGTAACAATAAATGTTAATTATTCAAGCTTGATTTCTTGGCAATGGCTTCCTTCGTTAACCTCTACAACTACGTCTCCCACTTCCTCCGGTCTCTCTTTCTCTTTCTAATCTCTACTGAGTTTCTTTCAATCTGTCAATTTATATAATTTATTCTTTGATGTGATATTTGGTGCGTTTGATTTGGTTTTGTGAATGTCTTCCTGACTTTTCCGCTTTGGATTCATAATAAGTTCAATGGTTGTATACATAACAAAATACTGATTTGTGAACAAGGCAATTCAAAGCTTGAAAATTTTATATTATGCTGAGCTGACTACCTTTTTTCCATGCTTTTTCGACTTTGAGTAATTGCAGTATTTTAGCCCAACTCGCTAAAATTTTTGTTTATTTTTAAACAAATTATGTATAAATTTACTTGGAAATGTTATATGAATTTGGTATAAACTTGAATAGAACTTATATCTGCAGGTTGAATGTGTCATTTGCCAACTATTTTTTGGTATAAGAAAAATATTACATTATATACACACAGTGCAATATGTTACCTATCTTTTTATATACATGTTATATTAATACATAAAATGTTGCATGTTAAACAGAGCAATAGATGCCAAGCTAAAAGTGAGAATGGGAATGAAGAATCCATGCCAAAATCTCGCATTTGTTCAGAGTGGTCTTGATGGAACATGGAATACATATCACCAAGTGTACTAATTCAAGGTTCATTGTTCAAATTCTTAAATTAAAATTAATTTTGTCTTGACTCCAGTTTCTTCATGCCTTTCTTAACTTCACATGCATAGATATTGATAAAGAGCTTCAAGAGGGTCATTACTAAACATCTATTAATCCGTGGTTACCTGTAGTTTGATAACTGGAAGCCTGGGGCTTAATAAATTTGTAGATGTTTAGTAATGACCCTTCTGAAATGATGGATATATTGTCAATATTATTGATCAATTGAATATGCATGAGAACTTTAAGTAATCATTGCCATAAAAAGTAGAAGTGATGACTCACATCAGGAATCAGTTATCTCATCAGCAACTTTATTTTTATCCAAGATTGAATTTGATACTTGTAGACATAGGTTAAATCGATTGTTAAGGTGGCAATTTAATCACTTGTCAACGTCCGATATGTCCATCTTCCTGTTCTGGATTTTTACTTGAAATGAATAGATTCTAGGCGTTTCATTTAGCAAAATGAGCAGCGGATAGTGCTAACTCATTTTTCTTACATTCACAGCAATATGGGCACTTTTCTTGGCAATATAGTTCTTAGCTTAAAATTAGAATGTGATTCAGTTGTATTGAATTTGTTCGATTAACCACTGGTCCATTTATAGTTCATTTAATCTTTTGAATTTGTAAGCTACTGTGTTGTGTCCTTTACATTTCTCGGTATGCTATTGATATGGAAAACATCATTTATCTATTCTATTTATCGCATGACATAAGAATCAAAGTAGACTTGGCATCCCTTTTGTGGCCTTTTTTGTGTTAGCAGATGCCATCAGATAGGCAAAATCATATCAGCTACAAAGTGCATTGAATGCTACAGGTTACTAAGTTTCGCCATATGCCTTCATTGTGGCATAGCCCTCTCTGCAACAAGTAAGCATTATAATTTCACTTTGTGGAATGATATTAAGTTTGAATAATATAGGGTTGTGTCATGAATTAAAACTATGAATCCATTTCATCATGCATTTTTCAGTTAAACTACTATGCTTTTGTTCAATTGACTGCAACTCATGCCGCAGTTTGCTTCACAAACCTCTAAGGTTAGCTTCCATACAGTATGTTGCAAGTTTGAGGATATATTTACATCTTAATTTCTGCTCTCTCTGGTTGATTCAAGTTTGTAATTTTACGTGCTACAGTGCCACTTGAATTGATTATAAAAATGTAAAACAAAATCCGTCCATGATTTACAAATTTGTATTCGATTTTTGATGTTTTTCTAGTGTAACGCATATGTTGCACAAGCATGCATATGGTACAAATTATTTGGTTTTGGACAGTAAGTTTTGAGTTTTACAAGAAAAATCAAGATAATGTGTCACTCATCTATCCCTATGTTCAATCGAGATTATGTTTAATTTATTCAGTTTAAATGTGTCTTATTCATGCAAATAAGGCTGGTGCATTCAAGGTCCTGCAGCAAAGCGCGGGCATATTTTCTAGTACAATACTAATTAGGATTGAACTGTAGTTTAACTTCAATAGACCTGTAAATTCTGGATATAAAGAAATAACATTACATGCTATATGTAGCATATCAACAGTGTACTTCTACTCGAATTCATATATCTCAACTTGCTCGAAGTTTGCTTCTAATCAGACACATTTCAGCCACAGCATGACTAATGTTCTTTCGCTCCCTAGGCAGTTCCGCAGAGCAAGCGACACCAACTTCCAAGATTGAAATCAAGCTTTCTTTAAAGTTGTTATCCTTACTGCCGCTATTTCTTGCGCTCTTGTCCCCATCAATACTTTCTTCCACTAGAACAAGATCCACAATCTCTACCACCTGATCAGGCAAAGCTGCCTTCACAAAGTTATGAAGGTTTGAAGCTCCTTGAAACATGTTATCAGTCGGTCTTTTTCCTGTAAATATTTCTAACAGTAGGATGCCGAAACTGTACACATCTCCTTGTGTCCACACTTCATGTCCCGTACCATACTCTGCATTTGTACAGTTTAAAACACCATGTTCTAAGTAAATTAAATGAACCAAAGATATGGTGTTTAGAGCAAAATTTATATGCCAGCAGCTATTTAAAGACAAGATAATGAGAAATTTAATGAATCACTAAATAGAGCGTTCACCTGGAGGAGTATAGCCAATAGTTCCTTTAAGACCGGTGGAAATAGATTGTTTACCAGAACCTTTTTCTGAAGTTCCGGGAAGGAATCTTACCAAACCAAAGTCACCTACATTCCCAATCATGTCATCATTGAGAAGAACATTGCTCGGTTTTAGGTCACAGTGAACTATTGGTGATTCACAATGGTTATGAAGATAATCCAAAGCCATAGCAACATCAATAGCAATGTTCAACCTCTGCGAAAAGGTTAAGCTCTTGGGTCTCTCATTTGTCTCACCAATTAACTGAGCTGGGTGCAACCATTCCTCTAAGCTCCCATTAACCATAAATTCATAGATTATGGCCTTGAAATCAAAGCCACGGTAATCAACACCTGAACATGCCAATAGAACCTTTAAAAGATTACGGTGTCTAATATTTCTCAAAGCCTCACATTCAGCAGTGAAACTTTTGTATGCCTCTGGATTAACGAGGTTGAATACCTTGATAGCAATTGTCATTTCACCTTCATCAAGTACTCCTTTATACACGGACCCAAAACTCCCCATGCCAATCAAGTTTGCAGAAGAGAATCCATCGGTAGCTTTTAGAAGAATTTGGTAAGAAACCTTAAGAAAATTATCTGAATTAGTACTTGAAGTTTGCTTCTTAGTTCCCTTCGCCCGTAAGCAGCATAGGTACAAAAGCAATAGTTCAAAACTTATTCCAAGAAGCCCGCTGACTAGAGAGATTATCAACTTGGAGGTTCGGCTCAATCCTCCCTTTGCTTGATGTTGAAGTTTGCATTCTGGCAGTTGAAACTCAGGTATGCCCCCACAAAGCTTACTATTTCCTTCAACCAATGTTGCAGTTGCATTCTTGAAAACTCCTCCATTGCATAAATAATGTATAACCATGGTGCCACAGCAAAGAAATCATACAACTAATAAAATATGGGAAAAGGAAATTAAAAGGTTTCATATAAGATAACAGCACAACAAAACGTGAACGGACTTCAGCTAGTTGGAACTCCAAGAGGGCAATAGCTACTTATTCTCAACTTATCAACTTCATTAACGAGACTTGGATTACCTCCCGGAAGAAAGCATTGATTTGTTTCATGTCCTTTTCGGCCAAATCCAAAAAGACCTGAGATCAGCAAGAGAAGAGAGAAGACAGAGGGGTGGGGGGTGGGGGGAGGGTAAATATCACTGATTGTAACTACCAAGGCCATCCCACGGGTCAAAACGCAGATTGGGAAAAGCACACAGACACTGACCTGTTGCCTACGCTTCACAGGAAGCTCAGAAAGAACATCATTTTTTAGTCTGCGAATCATCACTGTTGCCTTCATCAAATTATGCAATTCTTCATGGTTACATGCACCTTGATACAATCCAAACGTTCCCTGAAATTCCAAACCAGTAAGGAACAAATCTCTCATGACCTGATAGAACATCTTCAGGATAAGAAATAGTGACTTACGCCCTTGCAATATCGATTACCATATTCGTGAACACTTTTGTATACATCAGGATACAAGGCTTCAAGCTGTTAAAATTCAGAGAAATTAATAAACAAATTATTAAAATCTAGATAAAGATACTTACATTTATGCAGCTTCTTAACTAGAGTTTTGAAATACCTGCTTAAATAGTTCAATTGGTCGGGACAAAGCAGGAGTTCCACTCAGCAATATTGCGTACTGAGCCCTCTGAAATTGTTCAAAATATTACAGAGAGAGATTGAGATCAATACGTTCAATAACCCATTGCATTATTGACCAAAACGGGTCAAGGAGAAAAAACTCAATACTTTCAATAAGCAGTTTCCTGAGCCTTTACTCCTCTCTATATATTTCTACCAGAATAGGCATAAACATCAAACTTTCATTTATGACTTGACGCAAATTTAAATTGATACGTGTTGAAATTGTTTCCAATATTTTCATCAACTTCATTCACTGAACCAGCCTGTGAGGTTCACTACTTTTATTATCATAGTTGAGAAGAAATGACAATGGTACATCACTGTTACTACTCAAGGTAGAAAGCCACAGAAAAATATCTTACTAACGTACACCTCATACATGTATGCAAATGGTCCCTCTAAGGCAGGTACTACAAGAATGGAATGAGAAAAAAGTTAGCAGTTGTAAAGCTAGTCATCAGTTCACAAGAGAGAATGACCTTTATGACAGGAAGGGAGGCACTTGTCCTCTTTGCTTGAGCATTTTTCAAAAAGTGTGACTCATCTGCAATCACAACCTGAACAAGAAATTAAGAACATATCAAAGGGAGCAGCATATGAAAGAAGCGGGAAACAGAAAAAAAGAAGACCAGCAAGACACTATTTATCAATTTAAAAGAGGCTCGAATTGTTTCTAAAGAAAATTTTATATAGTGTTAAAGTTCCAATATGAAAACTAGAGTATATACCTTGATCCTAACATAAATATCTTAATTCCTTCTAAAAGTATCAAGGAAAACACCAAACTCTTCTATCATTAGGTCTGTTAGAAATGTGAAGAACACGCATCATTGCAGACAAAAAGGAAATAGTTTAAGATTTTCATTCACATTCTACCTTTACAAGTGTAGCACATGGTTCCATGTAATCAAGTGTACCACAGACTTGTGTTTTAGGTAACATAGAGTTGAATGGTAAATAACAAGCATCTCTAAAAGGTAATCAATCTATAATTATGAACTCTTTGAAAAATAACTAAAGAAATTAAAGGCGTATCAGCGTGTACTCATTCTTTCACATGTTCTTCAGCTTTAGTGCTTTGCACACTGAATCATATTCGGCCTAATAGACATCATTATTTCTAATATTAAGTGCTGTAAAACCACCCAAAAAACAGAGGTGTAGGATCTGTAGGGCAACATACTCTGTATTCTGATACAGCTGATGGTCTAAGATATAAGATTGAGTTATTTAATTATAGAAAGTAAAAAGAACATTACACTGAGTGTTTTAATCCTCACCTTAAACTCTGATGCCATTAGTAGATTCTGAATTTTAGGTACTACATCATAGGAGATGATGTTGAATAGGCCATCAAGATGAATGGTCCCCTTGGCGTTTGAGGATACAATTGTAAACCCGCTTTTGTTTGTCCCACCGCATTGAGTCAAAACAACCTAGTGGAAAAAGAATTCAAATACATAGTTTACAATAACTAACAAGGCATCAGACCACAGACAAATCTGTTCAATATTCAAGCTGCATAAACAAAAAGTGACCAGAATATTTAGACAAGAAAAGTGAATAACATACAAGTATATCTGATGAAGGGATGTTTAACCATTGTTGAATCATCTGCAAGAAAGAAAGAAAAGTACATTATTTTTGGCAAGATCAACCTTCTTACTAACAGAATTCAATACCGCACTTACAGAGGCCCACTGTAAACGCAAGGAAGATGGTGTGATTATAAGAACAGGCCAACAGTCACGAACACAAGATGCAACAGCAATAGCCTGAAAACAAAATGTATAAGGTATCCATCTAAGGCTGAAATTGGGAATGGTTTTGCAAATAATCTCCAATCCTATGGAAGCATTATAAATCACCCTACAACTGTGCAAGAGGGAACTCCATCATATTGGCACCACATTATACCAACAATTCTGGAATTGGATTTGATGTATGAATTCAACCCAAAGTTCTTTTGGTTTCTCAAAAAATCTGGCATCTGCAACTCACCATAATCATAGACAGCACGCAATTTGCAATGTCCTCCAAAGATCCCACTGATATTTCTGTCTAAACTTTCTCCCCTATCTTCTACTCACTTTTTTTCTTCTTTATCTCTCTAGTTTCCTTGAACCTATAGCAAAATTAAGTATTTTTCATTTGTCCTCCAAACTTCTGATTACCAAAGTTTCTGACATTTGCAGGCTATAACCCATATAGTCATAGGAAGCGCCTACCTATGTTGTCCTATTTTAGCGTTCTTACTGTACCATAATACATAGTTCTACAAAGTTAAAAATCCATCAGATTTAAGAGCTTCTTGTCAAGGGAAAACGACCAGGAAAACTTGTACATAAGTACAAAGTACTTTCAAATGCCGGATTGGTTGTATGTAACTGTTTATCATTGAAGGTACAGAAAGAGTAAGCATGAAGAATTTATTGCCTGTAAAGTCTTTCCCAATCCCATTTCATCTGCCAGGAGAGCACGCCCCCCGTGCTGCAAGATAAACCTGGAAAAACAATACTGATAAAGTTTAAAATGATACGTAAGAAAAAGACAATATAAATATCCACAACATAAGGAGATTCTTCAGATTTACAATATACCTAACACCTTCTCGCTGAAATGCCAAGAGCTTTGATTCAATACATCTAGGTATCCTATCGTATTGGTCTGGACAGGGAAGACACCAAAAAAAAGAACAAACAAAAAAATATCATGCAAAAGTTAGAAAGAAAATAAATGAAAGATGTACAGACCCTGTCACTCTAAAACAGAGCAAGACATACAATACCATAAGTGAGACCAATATTTGCTCTTTCATGAGCTTACCCTCTAACATATAGGAGTCAGAATTGTCAACTATCTTTCTTTTTCTAATTTACATGTTACAGGTCTTATTCAATCAACCAGAGAATTATGCAAAAACAGAAAACTGTCTGGAAGAGGAAAAGACAATTCATACCAACATATCAATTATGCACAAACTGAACTTCACAAATACTAGCATAATCACCCTTTACCTCGAAGGTCTGGAACAACAGAGGCAGCAGCAATAGCACGGTGAACTAAGGGATCTAAGTTCTCTACCTGAAACAATTTGCAAAAAAGTATCAAATGATGAAATGAAATGAAAAAACATCCCGATTTGCTGAACTTCAAACACAAATGGTAACACTGTATACATCAAAACGTTCCAATTTAAACTGAACCATCATGTAACACCTGAGTAAAAACTGAAAAAGAGCAAAAGTTATCACCTCAATGTTAACACCAGATGTCTCATGAAGAACCTTCTCAGCAGAAGACAAAGAAGGTATAGGGAACATCCATAATCTGCAGATTCAACACTATTACATCTGGCTGGGGCTCCATCCCATAACATGCCCATGTTTTTCAAAAGTCCATAGAAGATATGAAGAAAAAGCATAATGCATTTTGGAAGTGGCTTTGGGTAGGATGGAGAGTTGAGTAGGGATACCTTTCTTTAGCGTACCATGTGGCTTTGGGGATCTTGCGAACAGCACCTACTACCGCCTGGTGCAACATGGAATCTAATTGATAAGAAAACAAAGAGTTTGACAAGTGTTGTGAAGGAACATTCTTTACAGAAAGGAATACCTGGTCATAAGGAAATTTTGCGGCAATGTTTCCACTAGCATGAAGAAAAAATTTAACAGTGATCTTAGGTAGCTCCTTTAGACGTTCACCTTCTTGCAAAAAGGCAACGAGATAGAGGTACGAGCCCAGAGTTAGCCAGAATATAACAATGCAACCAGCGAGTAAATCAGTTGAGCGCAAAAGCTTCAAACTGGTATGGAATTGGAAGATTAACCATTGACCATTGTCAAGATGGGACATTTAATTCCTGATTCGTTTTCGAAATTCAAAGTGATAACTGCTTTGAAGACCGCTATTCATGCTCGATACAAGTAGCATACGTGACGAAGAAGTCAAAATAAGGTTTCATGCTATTTTTTCTTGGAAATAGTTGATTTTTAACACTCAGTAAAAGAGAAGAGTTCAAAACTTCAAAGTACTTGTGTAATAGAAATGGGCAAGGAGGGAAAATTACCAAGGTTTACTTTACATGGGACTGATGGAGGTAATACTCTAGTCCCGGGAGACAAAGGTGCTACCTGCATAGTTGCAAAACAAACATGTAAACAGATAAAGGTGTTAAATTTCTAATTTTTACTAAAAAAATTCAAGAAAAACATGGTAATAATTCAAAATTCAGAAACAAAGAAAGAACAGTTCCATTAATTAGGCATCCGAAACCCTGGAAAATAAAAGAAGGAACCACTGACGGGAAAAAACGAATTTCACCTTGTTCGGAAGAGAATTCGAAATGGGTTTCGCAGGGGAACTCTGGAAACTACAGTTGCTGTTGTAATTGTTGGGAAAAGATTGGGGCACCTGGAAGAGATCAAACGAAGGATACGAAGAGGAAGAAGAAGAACACGTGGAAGCGGAGTTGACGCGTTGCTGAGTGAGTTTCTGGAACGCGTCTCTTTCCAGAGAGTCGAATTCTTCGGCGCTCAAATCCCAGTCGTCGTCGTCCAACGCCATTGTTGGACAGAAAACTGAGAGAGTTGCAGAGTGCCGAGAAAGTATTTGAATTTTTGGGGTTTCGGATATTTTTTTTTTTTATCCTTTTTGCGACATGAACGTCTCTCAAGCGGCAAAAATGAAGAAAGTAACGATGAAAAACCTGCCGCCGTTACACGCCTGATTTGGGCGCTAACCTCTTTCCGTTTGACCCCTAAACTATTATCCTAATTTAATTTGATCTCTGAACTAACCTTGAACTATCTAAACTCAGCTACTTAACCTCTTGCTCTCATATTCGATGAAATTTCATTCGTATTGTCATCAAGTTGTTGACGAATTTATCCTTAGTGAATCATGTGTTAAATCATATGCTAATATTTGACAAAAAAATGGATGAAATTTTATCGAGTCTGGTGAAGTTCTAATTAGTTAATTTCAAATAGTTCACTTAATTAATTTACCTATAAAATGTCAACTTCAACTAAGACAATAGTTTAAGGGTCAAACAGCAATTACCCCTTACTTTCTGATATTTAAGTAACCCAACCCAACCATCAACCTTTGGGCTCTCTATTTGGGCCCATCACGAGGATGGCTCACTAGGCCCAAACTTTATATATATATATATATATATATATAATATTTTGTAGGGTAATGTTTGGATGAGCGTTTTAGAAATGGATCTGCTATCCACACACACTCTTTGTTAATTTCTGTACGTTGATCTTCTTCAATTCATCTGATCCGACGCCCAAAAATTAGAGGGGTGTGTGAGAAGTAAAAAAGGATGTGTGGATATCACACCCCTTTAGAAAACCCAAATGATTGATATCAAGTTATAAAAAATGGATCATAAATGTAACATTGATGAAATTAGAGAAACCCTTCACACATGCTTTCGTAATGCTCAATCGCTCATGGACAATTTCTCTAATCTTATCCATATTACATTTTATGGTCAATTTCTTCGTAATTTGACATCAATCTCTTGAGTCTTCTAAAACCCTCATCCAAACATACCTTTAGGGATTTTCTGAACATGAATGATCAAGTCAGATAGGGTTTAGGTAGTTGAGATGATATGAAGAGAATCACTCTCAAAATTACCCGTTCTTTAGCAACTAAAGCCTGAACGAGTTAGGGAAGAATACATTTTTAAACCGTCAAAACTAAACCTGCAACAAATCACCCAAAACTTAAGAAAACAAATAGCAAAGTGTCATAAATCATTCATTAAATAGGTGGGAAGAATTTACTTATCACGTTGTTGATGTCATCTTAAAATGCCGGTTCTACATAGTTAAAATCCATGTAAGTGAGCTGAGGTATCAATAATGTGATCAAAATATTACAAAACAGAACCGATTACAAACTTTAATATAAAAAAAGAACTCGAACACCACTGAATTAACACAAAAGCAGGTATATAAAACACGTTCTAGGAATCTAGGATCCTCTATTATTTTTTATATTACATTTGTTTCAATTTTTAGTAAAAGTTTGTAACCAGTACACTTCTGATCGCTTATCAGTATGTCAGTATGTGCCAACTATCACTTGCAATTGTGGTCATTCAATAATTCATGAAGAAATTTCCCTACTCAACTCCAACGTTATATTAACAAATCCTTAGCAGTTAGCAGCTGAGCAATCTCTGCAAGCAAGATATTAGCTGAGCAATCTCTGCAAGCAAGATATGTGTCGCTCTCCCTATATTCTTTGGTCAATTCCAACCCCTACGGATCTGGAAACTGCCTTGCGGTTTCCCAAACTCTCCATCTCTCTCTCTCTATAAATTGTGGACGAAAAAAGGCATAAAAACGGCAACTGGTGCCACTCTCACAATTCTCCACGTAAAGCCATGCCACTCCTTCCCACCTGAAACTGCTTCCAGGTATGAAGCATGAACACTATCAAGTTTCTAAATTCCCATTACCTCTCATCATTAAATTATCATTACTAACTTAATATTCTACATCTTCGTACTTGTTACCATGTGAATTGAACATATGGGATAACCTTATCTTGTCGGGCATTTTTTATGTTGTCAGACTCTGAATATAAACGGGATTTAGTAAGAAGATGAGCTTAATCATGGAATATTCCACTCTTCTATGATGTAGTCACCAGGCTTAATTGAAAATTTCCTTTCATACCAGAAAACTTCTTAGGCAAGTTCAAATCTTTGCAATATGATGATTTTATATGAAGTTTTTAAAGTTGTATATCAAGGTGGCATAGATTAGTGTTGTATATTTTGTGCACTCAAGTTCGAATCTTTTTCTCTAGTTTAGCCTCGAATCAAAAGAAAACGAGAAGGTTTTTGAAGTTTGGTAGTGAAAATTTGTCGTATACACGTTAATGAAATTGAATGGATGAATAGTTATGAGGTTGGGGTCCAACTGTACGGCTGTGAAATTCAGTCTGCTAAGATTGTATTTTACTATTATTCCATGGCAGCCGGAGAAGCTCTCTGGAAAATGGGGTTGAAGGTACTTCTGGTTGCAATTTGCCTGTGGGTTTGGTCAGCCTCTTTGTCTAGTGCTACAAAATCCAGTGATGGGCTACTGAGAATTGGTCTAAAGAAGCAGCCTTTGGACCTCACCAGATTAAATGATGCAAGACTCACCAGGTCACAAGCTCTTCAACCCAATGATCTTAAATCCAACATTGTGTATCTGAAAAATTATCTGGACACCCAGTTTTATGGAGAGATTGCTATTGGCACCCCACCACAGTACTTGGGTGTTGTCTTTGACACTGGCAGCTCCAATCTGTGGGTCCCATCTTCAAGATGCATCTTTTCTGTAAGTGTAATTTGCAGTGAATTTTTTCAAGTGTTTTGTTGTTCCTGGAGTCTTTGAGCAGTTTGTAAAGTAATGGATATCTGCAGATTTCTTGCTATTTTCATTCTAAATACAGGGCAAGCCTTTCAAGCACTTACTCCAAAATTGGTAAATTTTTTTAACCCTTACGTTTGATCAATTCTTGATAGAATTAAACTGAAAATTGATGTGTGTGTTGTTATTTAGGAATACCCTGCAAAATTCCTTATGGGTCTGGTTCGATTTCCGGCTACTTCAGCAGAGATAATTCGAAAATTGGGAATGTTATCATCAAAGATCAAGTGGGTTGCTCTCTTTTTCCATTTTGGTTTATCTGAAGTTTTTGTTTAAATGTGTTCCTTTTCCAAGTTGTTGATGCTATTGCTATATCTGCTCCCATCCTATAGGAATTTGTTGAGATTACAAGGGAAGGATTCCTAACATTCTTAACGGCGAAGTTTGATGGAGTCCTTGGACTTGGATTTCAGGATATCTCTGTTGGTGAAGCCACACCAGTGTGGTATGGTTCTGGCATAAACTGTTTAACACTGATGTATCATTAACTAGCTTTTAGTTTAGCGGTATTTCTCTTCTTGTTGGAATTTGATGCTTTTAGAAATAAGAAGATTTTTTATGGTTAAAAGCTTGCATTAGTTATCCGGGTACAGGTTTAACATGGTGCAACAAGGTCATATGAGCCAGGAAATTTTCTCCATTTGGCTAAATCATGATCCAACATCGAAGTTGGGAGGTGAGATCGTCTTTGGTGGATTTGATTGGAGGCACTTTATTGGTGATCACACCTATGTCCCAATTTCACAAAAGGGTTACTGGCAGGTTTATTGTAGTGATAAAAAGTTGGTGTTCCTCTCTAATATGTTCTTCTTGCCTAAAGAAATGACATTTGATTCGGTTTCATTGATCTCTATAGATTGAGGTTGGAGATGTTATCGTTGCAGACAATTCTACAGGTTTTACCACATTTCCACTCCTATGTTGTTTTAACTATCTTTATTCCATCTTCAAAGATTAAAATTGCTCGGCAAGTCTAGGAATTCATGGCATAACATCAAGATTTGAAATTGTCAGGACTGTGCAAGGGCGGGTGTGGTGCCATTATAGATTCAGGGACATCCTTCCTCGCTGGTCCAACTGTATCAACTCGTGCCTAATACTTAAATTAATTTACCTTCTTTTGTGCTTTTGTGGGAAAAGGCTTTGTTGTTGTTGTTGTGCTTTCGTTCTGCAGTAACAACCTGTATTCCATCATTGATTAGCTCTTCCTTTTCAGACTATTGTGGCTCAGATCAACCATGCCATTGGAGCAGACGGGCTTGCGAGCTTGGAATGTAAAAATGTCATTTCCACTTATGGAAATTTGATATGGGAATATTTAGTATCTGGGGTTTGTGTTTTCTTTTCCTTTTCACCTCCTCAAAACTTCATTTGAAATTCCTCTCAAGAAATGGATTACTGCATTAATTTATAATTTACCCCACATTGTCTGCAGGTACGGCCTGATATAGTGTGTGTGGACATGGGTCTATGTTTATACGACAGTTCTCGGAATATAAAGTTGAGACTTCTTTTTCTTACAATTGTTATCAGTTTTTACAACTTCATCAAAATAACCATAACATGAGGAAAAACTTTACTTCTGCAGCAATAACATTGAGTCAGTGATTGAGAGCAAAACCGGGAGGGAGTCATCAGTCGATGAAACTCCTTTATGTACCTTGTGTGAAATGGTAGTCTACTGGGTTCAACTACAGCTTAAAAAACAAATAGCAAAGGAAAAAATATTTAGCTATGTGAATGAGGTAATTGTTCTTCAAGTCTGCGGCTCCATGACTGATAATATGCATATAGATTATCGACCGATTTCTAGAAGTTTTTTTAATTCTTTTCTTTCGTTGCAAATGTTTTGTGAATTATAAAGTTGTGCGAGAAGCTTCCAAATCCGGTAAAAAAGTCGTTTGTCAACTGTGATAACATTGCGTTCATGCCAGACATTTCATTTACAATTGGAAACAAATCCTTCGCCCTCTCTCCAGAACAGGTATACTTAATGCTTCAAGTCTCACTTCATTCCTGAAGATTTTTTCCTTGAAATTTTTTTACACCGTTCGGACTTCATGTTCAGTACATACTTAAAGTTGAAGAAAAATGCTCCACTGTCTGCCTTAGTGGATTTACTGCTTTGGATGTGCCTCCTCCACAAGGTCCTCTATGGTAAGCCACTATGAACCCTCTATGTTCAACTTAACGAATTTCTGTGATTATGCTAAAACTCGGAGGGGAGAGACTACGCCCCTGATTATCCATGAGACATGACATGTCCGATTATTGATTTTAAGTTTTGTACAAGAATGTAACGACGTTACTACATTCTGCAGGGTTCTTGGAGCTCTGTTCTTGGGAGCATACCACACGGTGTTTGACTTCGGTAATCTCAGGGTAGGATTCGCAAAAGCTACGTAGTGCATAGACTTGATTTCCCACTTTGTACGTAAAAGATTTATGCTAATACTAAACGATTATCGTAGAAAATAAGATATTATGGATCAGTAAATGTCCCATTGGGTTATGTATTGAAGTATCCAATGCGATGCATTAGGGCCTCTTATAACTTATATAAATAAAACGCGGGCTGTTTGCTTGGTATGAATTGCAATAAGATGCAAAAATTGCCAAATATTTGATTCTGCTGTAAATTATGTGCTGCCATCTAAGGCTAGAAGTATTTGCTTGACTGGATTCGGCATTACTATTAGAGCTTAACATAACGATCAAAATGCTTCGCATTTCGCTATAGAGGATCGAATAAGCACGGCTACTACCGTTGTATTAATTTATTCGACATGTCAAAGCTTGATGGAGTAGAAGCCATTTGGAAGCACAGCAACAGAGTTCAGTACATTTGGAACTTTGCCTTTGTTCCTCAAAGACCTGTTCTGCAACTATCTGCTCTTTTGATATCCAGTTGTGCCTTTTGGTAGAAGCCGGTACCTCTCGATGCATCGGCACTAAAATCACCAAAACCGACAGCAATGGCTGCTTCTGCCTTGGCTCCATAGACCAGCCTCTGTTAGAGATTAGTGTACAAACTACGTGTTATAGATTAAACCGGAAATTAAGGAAGAAACAAGGGAAGAATTTTGAGCCAGTTCAACCTTGATCCTTGAGAGATGGATGGCACCAAAGCACATGGGGCAAGGCTCGCAAGATGCATACATTTCGCAGTCCGAAAGCTCAGTCTGCTTCAGCTTCTTACATGCCTTGCAGAACAAAAAACAATATGAAAAGAGAAGAATTCATATGAGATAGGTCTAAACTTCAGGAGAAACTTCCTTGCAATCGGGACGTTAGGATAACGGTATTCCAAGCTTTAGGATACCGCCACCTTGGCCTCCCGGTTGCATCTAAGTTCCTTCGTCAGTCTAACCTCTCTTATTGCTGTGACCTCAGCATGCGCGGTTGGATCTGTGTTCTTCAAGACCATGCTGTGACAGCTCACAACAACTTGATCATTTTGTACAACAACGGCACCAAAAGGGCCTCCATCTCCACATTCAACACCTTCATATACTTCCTCAACCGCCTTTCTTAAAAACTTGTAATCTCTATCCTGCACATCTGTATGAGAAACCCATGAAAGCATAAAAGTTAGAGCTACAAAGTGATCACAAGCATCCAGACTTTACTAGGTCGCGGGGTTTTCTTCGTCACCAAGAAAACACATAAGTTTCAAGAAAGAGAGACTAATCAGTCAATACCAATAAGTGCATGAAAGAAAGAAGATGGCGGCCGTTCGGGCAAGGCCGGTGGCATCATCTTGATGCTAGTAACATTTTGGGTTAAGCTGTTGCGTTTGTTAGTGGAAATACATTGTGCTAAGTAAAAGTGAGAGGTTCTAACACACTTACCGTTGGCTCCCTCCATTGCAAAGTTAGGTCGATTTCGACGTTGATGGAGGTATATGATGAAGCATCGGTTCAATATATATATATATGTGCGTGTGTGTGTGTGTATGTATATGCAGCACAAATTTTGATAATTTGTACAGAATTAAAGAACAGTATGTGACTGGACCGAAAGATAATAGATGCCAAATGTGAGTTGTTATTCTTCTACCACCTTGATATGATTCTTCTTCCATCTTCATATGTTTCCACGCTAATCAGATCATAAATCAGTAGAGGAAAAAGCACACATATAAGCTATATAACTCATATAACTTCTCTCTATACCAAACTTACTCTTTACACCATATTGTTTTTAATTAAACCATCAATATCTCTTTAAACCCAAAACGGTTTAGAGTTTAGGGTTTGAGGTCTCAAAGCCCCAACGGAATATGTAAATTCATCCTAACACGCATTTGAAAAAATGAAAAACCAAAATCAAAGCATTGTCTCCTCTGATGTTCTCTCCTTCCAACAGTTGCTTTTCATGGAGTCTTCATCAACCTCTATAGGACATTGACTGAAGTAAGTGCAAGCGAAAGAAGCGTGAACATAAATATAAAAATTGTATTGTTGATCACTATTTTAATAACAACTTACCACAAATTGAAAAAGAAAGAAACCAAATTCCTAAAGTAAAAGTTTTTTACACTCAACAATAGGACATTGACTGAAGTAAGTGCAAGCGAGCTTCTTAGACATCAGCTGGATTTTTGCTTTGGGTTCATAAAATAATTGAAAAAAAAAATTGCATCAATCGATTTATACCTTAGTTGAAGGATCCAAAACTTCAAAATCACCATTCATATGTCAAAAAGGGCTTGTTTTTCTTTATGAAAGTGTCTTCAGGTTTTTGCCAAACTAGAACGTAGGAGAAAAATTACGTGATGGTTAGGCCTTGATTATTGTGTATGAATTTAATGACAAATCCTACTTTTATTGTTAATTTCATTTTGTATTTGATGATAATTATGCAATAGGATAATAAAGACATTTCACACTTGAAGTTTAAATTTGATGTAGAAAGAGACTGTATAGCTATTGACACAAATATAGATGAATTTGGTAAATAGAAATATCAAATAAAAAGTAATTGCACGTATTCAAAACTTATTAGGTCGCAGAGTATTTTTGTTCAAAAAAAAGAAAGAAATGATAATTGATCATAGAATCAATACCAAGAGAATTGATAGCCAATCTGAGCTGAAAAGTAAGTATTTTTCAAAAGAGAAAAGAGCTATTGGCAAAGTGATATGTATTTGTTTGAAGGAGAAAAGTAAGATTAAATTCAAGTTTCATAAGGCATACCCAAAAAAAAGAAAAGTAAAAGTTTGGAATTTTTTTTGGAAATCTTAACGAAACATTCCTGGTACTGTTCATTTTTAATGGTAAGGACATTTTTACCTTCAAAAGTCACTCTTGAATTATTCACTTACACCTTTATTTTATCACATAAAGAGCTTGTTTTTCTTCATAAGAGTGTATTCGGGTTTTTGCCGAACTAGAACGTAGGAGAAATATTACATGATGATAATTATGCAATAGAATAATAAAGATGTTTCACACTTAAAGTTTGAGTTGGGTTTAGAAAGAAACTATATAGATATTGACACAAATATAGATGAATTTGGAAAAAAAAAAACCAAATAAAAAGTAATTGCACGTATTCAAAACTTATTGGGTGGTAGAGTATTTTTATTAAAAAAAAAGAGAGAAGAGAATTGATTATAGAATCAATACCAAAAGAATTGATAGCCAATCTGAGCTGAAAAGCAAGTATTTTTCAAAAGAGAAAAGAGCTATTGGCAAGGTGATATGTATTTGTTTGAAGGATAAAAGTAAGATTAAATTCGAGTTTTATAAGACATACCAAAAAATAAAGGCAAAAACAAAAGTTTGGAATATTTTTTTTGTCACATAAAAAGGTAAGCACAACGGCATGCCGTTTGGAGATGGGACTTAGAACAAACAGATTAAAGAAGCACGACGTCGTTCCAATTTTTGTTTTGGACGACAGCAGGCAGAGTTCCACGGTCGAGATGTGGGTCCAGCCCCTTCCAGTGGTCTTGACGGTGAAGCCATGGAGCTCTCCTCACGGCGGCAGCCGCACAACCGCCTCTCTTGTTTCCCAGAATCCCAATATTCCATCTGCATCGACGCAGCAACTGCCGATACTCCCAAAACCCACTTTCAATTCAAGGACTCCATCCTCCCAAGTCCCAAACGCAACCGCTGCTATCTTCTTCTTCCTCCTCCTCTGCTATTACTCCGTCCGCACAAACCGTCAAGCTCAGCGAATTCGATCCACCGCCGAGTTGGGCCTTCTCTCTCTCCTCTTCGTCCTCTCCACGGTAAAACCCATTCGCCCATTTTACCACTTAACCAGTAATTGCTGCTTATTGAGTTAATGGCGCTCTGACCTGCAGGATTCTGCGGCGGTTTTCTCCGTCGCTATACTTTGCATTCTAACAATAAACGTAAGCCACTCACTCGCTCACTCACATCCCCTGCATTTTTTTTGTGCTTTGAATTTTGAGCAATGGAATCATTTTATCAATTTGTGAGCGAATGAAGCTTATTGGGATTTCAGGCTATGAGAAGATTGGCAGCTTCAGTGGACAAACTATCCAATGTGGTGTCCCGGGAGGTGCCCGGAATGCTTTCTTCTCTCAAACTCTCCGGCGTTGAGATCAACAACTTGGCCAAGCAGCTTGCCGCTCTCAGGTAATTTGCATTTTCTTCCTTCCCCAATTCTCTTACATTGCTTATCAAATAAAAAACACATGCTTTTGCTCATACTATTTTGAATTTTTGGGGTTTTCAAGGGAACAGATTTCCGCAACTCGGTTTGACAAGAATTCACAATTTGTTGTTGAATCAAATTATGTACATGTAGTCTTGTAGATTTTCCCATTTAATCTCAACTTGGTGTGTGTATGGATGTATACTCTTGAATCGAGTATTTGCAGATTTAATCAAATTTTCAATTTTGTTTATAGGAACAATGTTAAGTTGTATGATTTATTAAAAAGCTACAAACTTTGGGCCCATTTCGATAACCATTGCGTTTTTAGCTTTTAGCCTTCGTCCTTTGTGCCATTGATGGAGGAAAAGTACAAGGGAGAAGAGGAATGAAGAAGGATAAGAAGTAATGAGAAATGAGGGTGTATGGAAGAATGACACACAATATGAAAATTAAAACGCAAAATTTGAAAACAATTTTAAGTTGTTTTCGCTTTCAAGTTTTTGTTTTCATATAGTTTCCTCCATTTCCTCCTCCTCTCTCCCACCACCTCTCTTCATCCTTCTCCACACCTACTTTCCCTTCTAGCACAAAAAATGAAATATAAATATGACAACCAAAATGGTTATCGAACGGATGCTTTAGTCTAACTCGTTCCTTGCTTCATATTAGGAGACTGAAACTACGTGGCTTTGTAGTTTGTGTGATCGGCCTACCTAATTTGGGTTGCGATCATCAGTACAATGTGTCTCATTCCTTGTACTTTGTCGATGCCAAAGCTAGGCTTTACTTTGACAATCTCATCTAGAGTTTGATATAGTTGTTTGAATTATAATGCTAAATCAAAACGTCTTTGATTTCTCTGTTGGTTCAATAACAAGCAGAGTTGAACATGAATAGGGGGGGGGGGTGTTTACAAAGTTTATAATTTGGCATACTTCTTGAGCGTTTCACCGGCGCCTTTCGCGTGCTCCGGCACAGGCATGTTGCTTAAAAGAGTTACTCTTGATGATGATACGATGGATTTGATGTCTGAGTTCGAAGGATCAATCTTCCATAGTTTCACATCCCAAACCTGCCCAAAAATAGCCAAACCCGAAAACAATCCTTGAATGATGTAATCCGTTGATCAATATTCGTTACAGAAAAGGAAATGATAAACTGATGAAAGATGAAAAACCAATGTGGATAATTGGGTATTTGCATTCACATTTCTTTAGTATAAATCTCTTTCAGTAGGAAGTTATCTGGAAATAGATTGTTGGGAAGAATGAGATGGAGAATTGATAATGATATAACTGTTGTGTTTTAATTGGAAATGATAGTTGCTGATGAAGACTTGAGAGGATTACCTGAATGGTCCTACCGACATTGACCGGGCAGGCTTCAGCAAAGATATGGTCGTCGAGCTGGGCGGGCTTCAAATGGCTGATGCTGAGGTGAATCCCGGCCACCCTTTGGAAACCAGAGGCCAGGCGAGCTCCCATGCTAGCCAGGGCCTCAGAGATGAGCGCTGATATCCCTCCATGTAGCACCTTGAATGGCTGGTCTCAGCAGGAAAGAATGGTAAGTAGTTAGTCATATATGTTTTGTTTTGCTTCTGTAATTAACATCTTTCAGAAATTTGAGCAGGAAAAGATTCATGATATGAAAAGAGAAAGAAGATGATGACCTGGACGCAGTTTTCGGTGACATGGAGGCGACCAGAGACCTTGTTGAGGGTTATCTCTTCAAGCTCGAACCCGAGCGCACCTAGTGGAGCATCCAGAGTCGACGTCGTCGATGGCGGCAATAACGACGGCGCTGACGGCTGAGATTGGGACTGAGAAGCCATATCTGTAGCAAACATGACTGCGAATATATTTAACTGACATATATATATACTGGATTTGGTTTGTGTATTGTTTTTAGACGATGAAACCATAGCAATCCAAATTGCCCTTCGATTATTTAGTGGATGGTAAGACTTTTCCACTGTTGAATTATTGTATACATCTGGAGGTCAAAAATATCATATTAGGATCCAGAACACACACTATTACGTAGGGTCCACTTTGTAACAACAATCCAAACCGTCTATATTTTAGTAGATCAATAAACATATAACTCAATCCAACGGTTACATTGTTTTGAATTTAGGTGATTTTTGATAAATATAATCTTTTTGATGTAAGACGAAAAAGATAGACAAATGCGTGTACGCTCATATCCTAATCCATACTGAACCGTACAGAAGCGTGCCCAGGCCTACCCATATGTACTATGATCGATTTGACATTTTCTGGGCCTTGGTTGGTGGTGACAAGTGAGGATTCCGAGAATCCTCAAATCATATATATCGTGCGGTCAGAAATTATTTTAAAATATTTTATTTAAAATTGAATATAAATAGTACTTTACGAAAACTGACCGCATGATCCACTATAAACGAATGTAATTAAAGAATCCCTAAAATCTTCACAAAGAGAATCCGACCAAAATCCCCTCTTTCGGTGGTGACCTATCGTTTGTTAATTTCTGGAGGGTCCACTGGCTGCCAAGATCCCCAGGGAAGGAGGAAGGAAGGGTAGTTTGGTCCATTCACACATCCCATTGGTGAGGATGCGGATAGGTAGGCGGAGCATTGGTGATGCATGTGACGCAAGAGGAGAAGGAGAAGTTGATTAGGACTAGGTGCCTGTTCTTCGTCACCTGTCAATTTTGGCTCCGCATTTCCTCCGCCACCTTTGCTCTTTTTCTCCCGCCATCAAACTTCCCCGGTAATGCCAGAATATTTTTTATTTTTATTTTCTCCAATAGATTAATTCGCACGTTGCTTAAATACTATTTTTCTGTTTTAGAATAAATGATAATTATTCATATTAAAGTAGTGGAAGAGTGAACTTAAGTCTCACAATTAGTCAATCATAATAATGTGGTTCGAATTTGATTTTGGCGAGAATCGAACATAAGAAACTATAGTACTAAGTGACGAGTTGCTTAAATACTTAAATGTGTGTGTGTGTGTTTATTTTTTATTTTTTATTATTATTAACAATTTTCATTAAGTGTACATAACATTGAGAGAGAAGTGTTGGAATCTAAAGGTCTTCGCCTAAGCCGATCAAAGACAGAATATATGGAGTGCAAGTTCAGTGCAGATGGAGGCAAAAACGAGTTAGGGGTGAGGATCGGAGATCAAGAAATACCAAAGAGCGACCGTTTTCGTTACCTAGGATCTATCTTGCAAAAGAACGGAGAATTAGATGGAGATCTCAACCATAGAATACAAGCTGGATGGATGAAGTGGAAGAGTGCATCCGGCGTGTTGTGTGACCGCCGTATGCCACTGAAGCTCAAGGGAAAATTTTATAGGACGGCAATAAGGCCGGCGATGCTGTATGGCACAGAATGTTGGGCGGTGAAGAAACATCAACACGTACACAAAATGGGTGTAGCGGAGATGAGGATGCTTCGTTGGATGTGTGGGCACACGAGAAAGGATAAGATTAGGAATGAGGATATCCGGGGTAAAGTAGGAGTAGCCGAAATTGAAGGAAAGATGAGAGAAAATCGGTTACGGTGGTTTGGACATGTGCAAAGAAGGCCTACTGACGCTCCGATTAGAAGATGCGACTATGGGACAGAGGTTCAGGGCCGAAGGGGTAGAGGAAGACCTAGGAAAACTTTGGAAGAGACTCTAAGAAAAGACTTAGAGTACTTGGATCTAACGAAGGACATGACACAGGATCGAGCACAATGGCGTTCTAAGATTCATATAGCCGATCCCACTCAGTGACTTGGATTTTCCAAGTCTCCAACCGAGAAGTTTTCCTCACTCGGGAAATTAAGGGAACACTACCCCAACCTACATGCTCCACTCAGAAAGCTTCAACATACAAGCTTCAACAAAAGAAAATTCAAAGAACTTAGCGAAGAAGGCTTTGGTGTATTTAACACAATACGTTGAAATGAAGGAAAGCTTATTTATTGATATCCCCGATAAGCTACAAATATGTACATATACATGAGTCAAAATAAACACACAAGAGGGAGCCTTCACAAAGGTTGCTTAGGAGAAGTCTCAGCAGTCGGTAGAGCCCCAGAAAGAGAAGGCACCGGAGGGGGATCATTTGGAGCCTCAGTACTGGACAGAACCCTAGAAGGAGGAGGCATCAGAGGTTGATCATTTGGAGCTTCATTACGCGGTACAGCCCCAGAAGACGAAGGCAATAAATGCCTTTGGAACAAACCCACAAATCTCTGATGATCAAGTAAAACCTGACCATCAGTTTCCTTCATCTGGTCAAGCTTCCTCTTCATGTTTGTAGCATAGTCATGTGCGAGCCGGTGCAACTGTTTATTCTCATGCTTGAGCCCTCTAATCTCCTGTTTGAGACTCATCACTTCAGCCGCCAATGATTCAACTTGGCGGGTTCGAGCAAATAGGCGTTGGGCCATATTAGACACAGAACCTGCACACTGAACACTGAGAGCCAGCGAATCCTTAACAGCTAACTCATCAGACCGTTTGGAAAGTAGTCTGTTATCTTTGGGAGTGAGAGAAGGTTCCTGGCCACCACCGCAGCGGTCATATCATTCTTCATCACGGAATCCCCAACGGTAAGAGGACCAGTAGGGGAGACGAAGGATGGGCGCCATATGTTGTCTGGAGAAGGCGGGGCTGCCTCTTCAACAAGGTTCAAGTCAAAACGACGGTCGGAGGGGCCAGACATTTTCAAAGGTGTTGAAGAGAGAAGAGGTCGGACAAATCAAGATCTTAGAAGTGCAAGAATGAAGCTTCTACTGGTGGAGATTCAAGTGTGCTTTGGAACTTAATGCCAGCCCCTATAAAAATCTGCACTCGACGGAGCTTCAGAAATCGAAGAGGCGCCTGCTCAGAAATCGAAGAGGCGTTTGCTTTCTCAAAAGCTGGGCTGCTTAGAGATCACGAGGGTTGATCTCAGAAATCGAAGAGGCGTTTGCTTTCTCAAAAGTTGGGCTGCTCAAAGACCACGAAGGCCGATCTCAGAAATCGAAGAGGCGCTCGCTTTCTCAAAAGCTGGGCTCCTCAGAGACCACGAGGGCCGATCTCAGAAATCGAAGAGGCACCTACTTTTCCAGCCTTGTCAGCACCTGTCACACGCACACTCAGCTTTGCGGAAATTATGGGCATTCTGTCGAAGACTTCTGGGGAAGTAGAAAACACATGAATCTTACTGTTCAATCACCCACTTCCCACACGCAACAATAGCTCATGGGTACCACAGATAACTTTGCCAAAGTTCTCTGCCAAAGTTGAGCACGTGAAGCTTGCAGCTCCCACTACACATCGCTCTGACCAAGAAGGGTAAAAGAATAGCAAAGAAACAGCACTAACAAAGTTTAGACCCATAAATTTTGAAGGTCTAGCTACCATATTATTACCCACAAGGGTAAAGGAACAGTACCACTGCTGGATAATTGGAAAGTCCCTGTGTGTCAACCTCTGTGCTTCGTGGCAAGGTAGACTAGCAAACATGCCCAACCTTTACTCACCTTTACTCACATTCGAGAAAACACTCCCAATAAGATTGCTTGCTCCAAAATCGAAGAGGCACCGTCCTCCGAATCTCGAGAGCCAGACTCCCAACATGACTACTTTCTTAAAAATCGAAGAGAGGGTAAAGGAACAGTACCATTGCTGGATAATTGGAAAGTCCCTGTGTGTCAACCTCTGTGCTTCGTGGCAAGGTAGACTAGCAAACATGCCCAACCTTTACTCACATTCGAGAAAACACTCCCAACAAGATTGCTTGCTCCAAAATCGAAGAGGCACCGCCCTCCGAATCTCGAGAGCCAGACTCCCAACATGATTACTTTCTCAAAAATCGAAGAGACACTGCTCCCCGAATCTCGAGAGCCAGACCCCCAGCATGATTGCTTTCTCAAAAATCGATGAGGCATCGTTCTCCGAATCAATCGAAGAGGCGCTCGCTTTCTCAAAAGCTGGGCTGCTCAGAGACCACGAGGGCCGATCTCAGAAATCGAAGAGGCACCTACTTTTCTAGCCTTGTCAGCACCTGTCACACGCACACTCAGCTTTGCAGAAATTATGGGCATTCTGTCGAAGACTTCTGGTGAAGTAGAAAGCACATGAATCTTACTGTTCAATCACCCACTTCCCACACGCAACAATAGCTCATGGGTACCACAGATAACTTTGCCAAAGTTCTCTGCCAAAGTTGAGCACGTGAAGCTTGCAGCTCCCACTACATCGCTCTGACCAAGAAAGGTAAAAGAATAGCAAAGAAACAGCACTAACAAAGTTTAGACACATAAATTTTGAAGGTCTAGCTACCATATTATTACCCACAAGGGTAAAGGAACAGTACCACTGCTGGATAATTGGAAAGTCCCTGTGTGTCAACCTCTGTGCTTCGTGGCAAGGTAGACTAGCAAACATGCCCAACCTTTACTCACATTCGAGAAAACACTCCCAACAAGATTGCTTGCTCCAAAATCGAAGAGGCACCGCCCTCCGAATCTCGAGAGCCAGACTCCCAACATGATTACTTTCTCAAAAATCGAAGAGACACTGCTCTCCGAATCTCGAGAGCCAGACCCCCAGCATGATTGCTTTCTCAAAAATCGAAGAAGCATCGTTCTCCGAATCTCGAGAGCCAGATACCACAGACCACTTTTTCAAAGTGCTCTGACAGAGTTAAAACATGTGAAACTGGCAGCTCCCACTACCGTGCTATGACCAAGCAGGGTAAAGGAATAGCATTACTACTTGTTGTTAGGGAGACTCCTATATATGTCGACCTCCATCCCCAACGGACAGGCAGACCTGCAAAAATGCTCAACCCTTCATCATATCTGAGAGGGCACTCCCAACGAAGCCTTTCGAAATATTCAGCTTTCTTTCCCCCCGATAATACCTCTGCAAACAAGCTATACTAGAGCAAGAATATCTCATATCATCAGGGTTA